ACGTTATGGTTGCAATTAATGTTCTATATGTTATATTCATTAATGTATCTATGACAGTTAGAATCCCCATGAACCATGATTTGAGTCATGCGATTCATTTTGAGTTCCCATTTCATTGATACATATCATATTGAGTTTCATTGTATTTCCATAATCACATGCTGAATTGCAGAATCACAGAACATTAAGAGAGAGGATTAAGAAAGAAACCCCAATAATTAATGTACATAGAAAAGGAAATAAAAAACTGTCCTATATATACCTTGCCTATCAAAAAATTGTATACCCAGTTTTACAATATTATGTTAAAAATATATTTACTAGTTGGTTTGGTCAAGAACATATGATTCATGATTTGAATTTTGCAGAATTGGCCTTATTTGTAAAACAATTCATGATTTCATAACCATGATAGCATCAGCTAATTCCCCCGGCTCCATCATTACTTTGGTTCTTATAGTTTGTTTATTCTCTGCTTCATCCAGGTGCCTACTGTGGGAGAAATGACTGCAATGTTGAAGAAAAAACATAACCTGTTTGAAGTACTTTATGGATGGTTCCTTGCCAAGGTGTTTTCCTGTTTGGCAATCATGTTTATCATCCCTGAGAAATTTGCAATTATTTGTAATTCAATCTTATTTGAGAGTGCTGTATTTTTCACATGATATGCTTCCTGTCCCTGTTAATTTCTAATAGATTGCTAGTAAGCTTGAGGTCTTTCCTGGCTCTGAGTTTCGAGTGGCATATGAAGAAGCTATGAAGTATGGTGGCAGGGTGATACTTGGGGATCGTCCCGTGCAGGTTAGATGAGTTTTTTATTGAGTTTTCTGAATGCTAGAAAGATTTCTACCCCTCTTTCGATTTAAAATATTATTTATTATAAAGAGTTGATGTATTTGAATATCTCTTATTCCCAGAATATTGAATAATAATGAAAACCCAATCCAACCTTATCAGTTCATTGTGAATTGGTTCTTAATGGATTGGATATTTGGGTTTACTAAAACTAAACGACCCATCAAAATCCATCACTTAGAAAGGTTTCAAGTTATGGTTGTGCTTGTGGCCACCATCATTTTGTCCTCCAAGCTCCATTCACTTTTATCTCTCTTTTCTTTGTGTTTGGGCAGTGAGTATATTGATAAAATTAAACTGAACCAAAACTTGGCAATGGCTCATAGATTCTATCTCTCGTGGGATTTACATGACTAGTTTGGGTATTATGGTAATGTTTGGTGTGTAGATAGGTTAAAATGGAATGCAGTGTTCTATTCTTTACCAAAATATCCCTTTTTTATTCCTCGCGTCTTATTCTTTCCTATTTATAAAATATGCCAAACACAGAACATAGCTCGTATGTTATGTTTTGTCACATTCTAAAAGTTCAACAGTTCTACCAAACACTACCTATGTTTTTTTATTCCCAATTTCAAATTGCACTAATGTTTCTTTTTTATATGGTTTGACAGACATTTTAGCAAGATAGAAAATTTCCCATTGTCAAGAAAGATTTTTTTTATTTATGATGGTTTGGATATCCATCTTTAAAAAAGTGATTAATGGATGATGTGTGTAATACTATAGTTATTTATTAAACAGGTCATTGATGAATTGGATTTTTATATACTTCTTTCTTGTATTATAAATGGAATGATGATTTGATTTTGTCCCGTTCACAATATAACCTAAGATAATCCTCCAACCCATCCATTTGTCACTCTAGCATTTGGGTAGGGTTAATTATACACAAACATACACCTACCACTGTAAGCAGAGGCTGTTATAACCACTGTCACAGTGTAGCTTTCTTACTGTTAACATGTGAGATATATGTTTCTTGAAGTCCTCAATCTTCTAAAATGATGGCTGGAACATGCTTGCAACTTCAAATTCTGGTTTCTATACGAATTGAGATATTAAAATATACTAAATAGTGTAATTTATCTAACACTTTTCATTATTTACTATTTTATATTCTTTCAACTTGTTTTGCATTGTGTGATTAAGCTTTAGAACTTGCTTGTTGTTGTATTTATTTATTTGATTTTGATCGAGACAGATTACACTAAGAAGAACATGGAGTAAGATGCCACTTTGGCACAAGACAAAATTGGTGTACTCTTTACTTTTTCAAGCAGTTTTTCTGCCCAGCTCTGACGATCTGAATAAAATGGTAAATCTCATACTCATACAATCGGGATGAGTATTGGTCGTGCTTTGTTTTGTTCTCATACTCATTATAATAGTGTTAAGTTCTTGTCAACGTCCTAACTTTGTTTTGCTTTCTTCAGCTGAAGGACATGGATGACGGTGACATGCTAACTCTCGTTATTCAAGAGATGAGTAAGGAGTTTCCAACATTAATGGAGACTCTTGTGCATGAACGTGATCAGTAAGTTCTGTTGCAGTTAACTCAATTTACATTTTCATTTTTCACATCTGTTACTTGTCACCTGCTTCCCTCACTCTGCAGAATGCTTCCGTTATCATTTGTAAACCCCAGTTATGTTACCATTTAGCCAAGGGATCCTTGGAAGATATCCTGGATATGGTTTTAATATTGGCCTTTTCTGCATATGCTAGCCACCTAACCTTGAGGATCAGAATCCAAATATATTGGACTTTTTACCTAGAGTGACACTTTTGTTTCACAACATAAGATATGGAAAAATATTGAAGTTAATCATATATGGAGGATTTTTTTAATATCATCTAATAAAACTTTTGGGTAATGCAGCTAGTAACTAACATCATGAAGAACAATGTTATCAAAAAAAGTATTTTCAGTATTTATGGTGGTGTACTATCTTTATCGCTGACGAACCTAGGGTGTTGTTGGCTGCACAGGTCAATTAATAGGTTAGTGCACTGTGCATGTATATTTCCCCTTCCATTTGTGCACGCATGCACACAATAATTCAAAAATTTAGCTTGAAATATATTAATATCATGTCAAGTAGCATCATGCCTCTATCTTATGATGGTGTTTTGGATACTATTTTTACTCTGCAACTTATGGTATGCCTTTCTTCCTTTTTGATTGCTGCAAAGCCCTTGTTACATATACAATCCTGCAGTCTCTTTGAGCATGTCTGGTTAAAGTATAGATCATGCCTTTGCTGTGAGATAGAGACTGTTATGATTTTAGTTCCCAAGCCAGCATTAAGGTTGACTTACGAGTTATCACTGAGGTTGAGTCGACTTGTTCAATTGGCCTCTGCTTTGTCTAGAATGTCTAGTTATGCTTTTATACATTGTGTCTGAAGACTAATGATTTGTTTATATCCAGGTATATGTCGTCTACATTATTAAAAGTGGCAAGTGAGAATAGCTTAGTTGTTGCGGTTGTTGGAAAGGGGCATCTACAAGGAATAAAGAAGCACTGGAAGCAACCAATCATGGTTGGTCAACATCCATTTCTCCTGCTATACATCAAAGCGAGATTTATTGGAATTAAGAAAATAAAAATTGCACAAAAAACATTGATCAGCTTCTCCCATTTTACCAGCTCTTAATGGAACTAAATCTCTTATTATAGTGTTATTATTCTTCTATTATTCATTACCAGATTTTCTTGCTGTTTTGTAGATGAAGGATATCATGACAATTCCGTCTCCAAAGCCAGCTTTCTCTGCAATGAAAGTATTCACATCTGTGGGTGTTGCGGTAGCTGGGGTGGCCATAATATCGGGCATATATCTTTCATGCAAGAAATAAATTGCCATTTACAGATTCTTGAAACTGAATTCGATTCTTATTGAATTTTGCTGAGTTAAGCCAAACTCGACTCACTCATAGTTATCAATGTAATTTTAGTGTTTTGTACCAGTTTTTCATGTTTTTTGCATTATATCCCATAGGTGAGTAATTGAATTTTTTATCGCAATGAATTTTATATCATCAATTCACTTTCCGTGTATATATATTCTTATTTTTACTCCCTAAAACAAAGTCAACGAAGTTGAGAATTGGGATGGTGGTCTTGGGTAAGTTAAATGAAATCCGACATTTGGAAGGGAAGAGAAATATCAGATTATTTGGTTTGATTATGATTTTTTAGATTGTCCATAAGAGATTGATTTGATTGTTTTATACGGTTAAAAATAGTAGAATTTTGTATTGATTGATATATTTGGTTTGATTATTGACTCTATATTTTATTCCACATTTTAGTGATCAATTTTTTAGAGAAATCCAATGATTTGAATTAATAAATAGATTTAAACCATTAAATTTCCTTAGAATTATGACTAAGATATAGAATAAGTTTAAAACTTACTTTTCGAGTAAGTGAATCTCGCCTATTAAAGAGATTAGAATTTTTGTTTGATCGATTAAAAATCAACATATTTAAGCATTGACTTCATTTCAATAACCTTCCTTCAAAAATAATATAGCTTCTTAGTATTTGAGGGATTTACTAAAATTAGCACTAATTTGTTTAATTATCCTCCCACTTCACCATTCTCCCACTCACAAGAGGATCACACATTTTTATTCTCCCTTCTATTACCTCTTACAGTGACAAAAATGAAAGGAGGGTTTTAAACCTTTTAATTCCCTTTCCTTCGAAAATCTCGTTTTTTTGTCATTGTGTTCGATCGCATAAGCATTGGTTCCATCATAAAAGTTTTAATCATTTAAACATTACAATTAAAGTTTGTTTGGTAGAGTCTTCAACAACGATCTCTCTCCATTCTATCAAACACCAAACCACTTCACTCGTCCAACTTAATTTTAAAATAATTTCATTAAATAACTGAGCAAAATACTAACATCCTAATTCTGAAAGAACCAATTGTCCATGAATCATTTATATTATAAATTAAGGAGGGATCCATTGATTCCAACCTCTCATCAAGTAAGTTTAAAAAACTCTATTGAGTGATCCTCACTCTTATAATTTATTAAAAGGTTTATAGGTTGAAAGGTTTATAGGTTTTAGGGTCACCATCATCCAACTTTGTTCTTGACAATGTTTATAGGTGAAATTTCAAACAAATCATTCCTTATCTGGACAAATCATTTATATTAGTTCTTGTCCTGGACAAGTTAGTAAATTGAAAAGTTTCAATCATACAAAAAATAAAACGAATGTAATTCAAAAAATCAAATATTGCAATTTTCATTACGTTATGCTGTCAGGAATAACTTAATCTAAATCAGGATGCATAAAATTATTTCCCAAGAGTCTCTCCTGCTGAAAATCCAAATCGACATCGATCTTCTCTACATAATCCGCAAATCTTCATAAGCATTTCCTGCCTTTTAAGTCCTGAACCTAAACATATCTTTTCCTTCCAAGGAATATCATCTAGTTTCCATTTGAATAAATGCACAGATACCAACGTAATAAAAACATGGCCTCCAAAACAAAGCTCTGAAATTATATTTAGAGTAAAAAATATTGGTGGCGTTTCCAAGATCAAATGATATTAAGAAACCATAAGTCAGGATGACCACAACATAAATATAGCGTCCGAGCCATTATCCAGGAGGAACATTATATCCCCCGGAATTGGTAATGGACGCAATTTTCTGCATATAATTCGTCACAAATATTACTAATAAGTTATAGTGCTCAGTGGAAGGAGAAGTCGTTAAATAATAGGCTCACGGCGCTACCTTGTGGCAACGTCCACTGCCCAATAACACAATGTGTTTTTGTCACATCATTGCACCAATAACATTCAATAGCACAAAATCCGCTAACAAATTGAAATGAGAGATTAAACATAGGCTTCAGTGTGTGTAACAATCAGATCATTGATCGAAATCTCACTGAAATCCGCTAAGATAAAGTATATTATCATCATAAGCCCACTACTTCTTTTCAGAACAAAAAACTAAAAAATTAAGAAATAAGAAAAAAGATAGAAGCAAAGAAAATATGATTTTTTTTTGAGATCGAGAAACATATAATAGATCGAGAGAAGATAGATTTCTACACAAGAGAGAACCCCTAAAATTGTAAGATTTTATACGTTGTGCTCAGACAGCCAAGGGTTTGTAATCAAATTCTGAGTTTTCTCAGATCAGAAACTCTAGTCCACAATTGTATCATCACCGCACACACACAAAAATCGAACTTTGAATAAAATTTGTTGTAAAAGAAAGAGGACAAAATTGAATGCAATTCAAACGAACTACATAAAAACCATGTGATGAAGATGAAATCTAACCTATAAAACACTAAAGAATTGATTTTGCTATAGAGATGAAGAGCAAAGAAGGAGATCGAAAAGAGGCAATGAGGCTTTGCAAAACGTTTGATTCGAATATATAGGCGGAGAAGGGTGCGTGTATAAATTAGGGTTTACGATTCGTGTATTTTAGGTTTATTGCGGCGGTTATGTGGGCTTATAGAATAGTGCTAAGTGCTAACAATTTAGATGGGCTTTTTCATGCAACCCATTCCACATACCTATTATTTTCTGATTTTATACTATAACTAGCAAGTGACCCGTGCATTTGCATGGGACGGTATTTTTTTTGTCGTATGATTCAAAATATACATTACATATGCATTCATATGGTTAAGAACACGTGTTATTTGTGCATTTGCATGGTTAAAACACACATATTACGTGTGCATTAAGAAGACACATGTGATCAGTGCATTCGCATGGTTAAAAATACACATGTTATCCGTACATTCATATTGCTAAGAAAATACATGTTACCCATACACTTTTCACTTTTGTACTTAATTGATTTTCATGTTCTATAGTCTATATATTTGCCTAACTAATAAATATAATAAAAACTTATATTGTTCATTATTAATATGGACGTACGTATGAAAAATTTGTTTAATTTTATTATTTATTGTAATAATTTCTTAATGTAATTTGTTTATAATTTATTTTACTTCTAAGATATTATTTATTAGTAGTTGTTAGTATAATTAATTTATTATTTTATATTTTTTTTAATAAGTAATTTAATGATTAGTACTTTACGGGTTTAATGATTTAGTATGACAACTTCGAAAATAATATTTTAATAGATAGAAATGAAATTTAGTAATAAATGATCATTGAAATAAGGAGGTTGTAATTATATAGTTCCATTTTTTTCAAAATAGTGGAGACCTAAATTATTTATGATTAAAACTGTTAAAATATTTTAAACATAATAATGGAAATGAGAACATTATAATTAAAATTTTAATTTTTTTTCAAAATAAAGCAGAGCTACTAATTTGCATGTAATGATTACTATACATTATTTTCAAACTTGAATAATATCATCAATATCACCCATAAGCACCACATTAAGTGACAATATGTGTTTCGGCGATATTTAGTTTGCAACTTGACAATACGATATTTATTCAAAATAATTATTAATTATTAATTATTAGTTTGCAACTGATCGGCGATATTTATTCAACGTTGTTGATATTTATTCACTTATTCGATTACAAATTACAATAATATAACAAAATATATTGTCATTATTCACCTATGTAGTTTCTATTCCCTTATGAATTTTCCTTTATTGTCATTCTACTATGTATTTTTATATAAATTTTTATCTTTCATTGTTCACATTAATCCTCTTAAATCTCGAGAGTAATTCTCTCCAAAACAGTTATTATTCCATAATTATTCACAATTCATATAAACGATCCTTTTAACACTTGAAAAGTTTGTCTAGGTGTAAAAAGAAAAGAAAACAAAAGGTTAAAATTTATAAATTTTATTATCTTTAATTAACTTATATGATACATTTGATAGATAATTAAATAATTATAGTGTCATTTTTTAATAAATATATAACATATGTAATGGTTAATAAATTCAATAAAAGTATAAGATAAAAAAATTGTATTTATAGTATATTTTAATTTGATAACAATAAAGTTTTGTTTTTATCATAACATTTACTCAAATATAAAAGAATATATTAAGTTAACTTCAATGAAAATTGTATATCTTTTTTTAGAACAAATAAGGAACATTATATTATTCACATTTGATTTATTTAAAGATACATAATCAAATATGAAGATGAAACTTAAATGAAATGAACATGTATAGATTGACAATATTGGATGAGAAATAAAGAAAGATTTTTGGAGGGAAAAGAGTGATTGTGGTGATGACATATGTCATGGCTAATGTGACAAAGACTTAATTTTCTTATATAGGATATAGATAGTGTAACTTAACAAGGGAAGAATAAACAATAAATCTGTTTCTGATTTACTTTCACACTTGTCTACACAACTCATTAACATAATAAAAAGAGTGGCATTAGCATATATTTACATGTGTAGAAAGCTATCTTATTATGAGTCAATAATATGCATGAAATATAATAGGTAAAAATGTTATTTGGTTCATTAACTTAATTGGCAGCCAATAGGTAAAAACGTTACTTCGTCCACTAACTTGGCTTCAATCCCTTATTTTTTTCAGAAATTAATATGTAGAAATTATATATAAAAAGAGTATAAATATAAAGCTCTTAAGTCTTAACACTTATACCAATGATTGATTAGCTAGGTGGAATCACATTCAATTGATTTAGATTAGTTTTTATAATCTTGGTTAGATTTACATTCTTATTTTTTTATTTATCAATTTAAGAGATACAAGTTTATAAAGGACTCATGAAGGATCATAGGTTGAGGTGGTTAGCATGATCTATCATAATATATTTCAAGTAAATCTGGGCAGAATCCAATAAACTGGAACATATAAAAAATCTTGTGAGAATATTTTTATTTATTTATTTATTGAATATATAGCTCATTCATTATTTATGTATATTTTAATGAAAAATCAATAATGATTAACAGGTGAGTGTTAAATGATAAATGTATGGTTTTAAAAAGTGTTACACTATAGGTACATAAATCAAATTATATGACATGCTAATTACTAAGAGCTTAGGCGCGCAATTAAAAAAATAAAAGTTAAATGTAGTTAAACATACAAAATCCTTAAAGGATGTTGATTAATATGAGAACAATGCAAGCATAAGATTATTCATTTAAGAATCAATATCATCCTAAAAAGTATTATATGTAAGTTAAATCCTATGTGCATTTTCTCCCTAAATGTATTCCTCCACTCAATTTATAACGGTTCGCTGGTGAGTTAAGTTATGATGAAAAAAAACGAAAAAGAAAGGTTCATATATGATAAAATATATATATAGGGAGTGAATATGAAGTGAAGTATTTTCAATCTATTCATTCGTCCAAAAAAAAATTGAACAAATCCAAAAATGTCTCTTAAAAATAATACAGATTACATGCACATTTTTTATACATTTAATTAACCCACCTACTTGGGGTTAATGGTTGGTTGTTCTTCTTTATGGGAAAGTAAGAAAATTTGCTCTTTGATGCATGTTCAGTGTTATTTTACAGCTAGTCTTTGGTTTTAATCAACATTGGTGGTGTAGCTAGGATCCATTTTGAGTTTAATATTTATTTATTGTCGGTGTATAAATTTATATATAAATACTATATTATTTATCATTCATTTATATTGTTTTTTAGAATCAATGATAAATAAATATGAATGATAAAATAATAATATATAAAAATATATACACTGATCAATGCTGGTTCTATTTCCCTATTGCAATATTACTTTAAATTTATATGAATGTTCTTCAATCTTTTCTAGTTCATATTGAGATATATAGTAGTATATAATACCAAGTTCATAAAAATATAGAATGAACAAATTAATTGAGAGATGCTATCCCATTAAGCTCCATCATATAAATAAATTAATAATAGGCTTATTAACATGTTAACAACGACTTAGTATAATACACAGACATTATAGACATTGAACATGCTCTGTATACAATTGCATATACACCACATAGAAGAACACAAATATGTGAGACAAGGAGGGGTAGACAAAAGTATTAATCAACCCAAATAATTAACCAACATTGACACAGGAACCAGGCAGAGTCCCCTTTTCTTCAAGTCTGTTAATCCAATATTCTTTCCATTTAAGTTTACTTGATCATGCTCATCATCTATCTGCAATTCTGAATAATTCTCTGATGATGTGAATCCCTTAACCTACACAATCATGAACTCATCATGATGAACCATATAGACTTTGGTTAGTATTTATTTGCAAACAATTCATGTTTATCATAGAGCCATCCACATCATTAATATTCCTTGAACCCACATAATAATAAGGATTGTAAAAAGGTTTGGGGAGAGGAAATTGTCCACCAATGATAATATATCTAACTGCGACCCACTTCATCTGTCGTAAAATTATGTAGCCTTCTTGCAAATGAAGAGGCAGAATTTAAACTCGTGATCTCTCGGTCATAATATAGCGACCTTATTGTTTGGACGAGACCAATTTATAATTGATAGATTTAGGAAAGGAAAAATGATGGGATCCACTTATTCCAAGAGTAAGTGTTTTTAAACTTAATTCACATCTTAGCCATCAATTTTATTAATTCAATTCATTGGATTTCCCTAGAATTGATGGATAAGATGTGAAGTAAGTTTAAAAACACTTACTCTTGGAGTCAATGTATCCCTACACAATAAAAAATGATGTAATTATATATATAAGGTGAGAAAATTAAGTGCAGGTGATGTTTGTATTTACCTTAGGGCTATTGACAGGAGAGCTAGCAGTATCTTCCAAAGGGTCATCCTCAGATATCTGTTTGGTTCTTGCTTTCTTGAAATTTAGTTTCTTAAGGAGATTTGGTGCACTACTACCCTTACCATGATTCCTATGACATAATTTCCATGCAGCATAAGAAGCAGCATCAGAGACCAAAGATGAGCCACCCAAACTGGAACAATAACTAGGCTCTATCCCTTGTGAGAAATCTTCTATGTAAGATGTCCATCCACTTTCCTCAGGACAATTACTTATTACGTTTTTGTTGGCCGTTGATACTGCTTTGCCACTAAATGAATTCAGAGAGTGATGATCCATTAGTATATAATAATAATAATAGGAGTTTTAAGTCTTTGTTTGGCTAGATGTTGAGGGAAAAAACTTTGGTAGAGGATTTAAAACAGAAAGTTATGAGATAGTGAAGAATGGAGAAAAAGGGGTACCCCATAATATAAAATATTGGGGTGGGGAAGTTATAGTAACAGTTGAATTGCAACTGAAAACCAAGGGTTAGAGCTAGAGAGAGAAAGTGACGGAGTGAACGTGCAAAGAAAAGAAAAAACAAAGTATAGAGGGAGGGTTGACCTGAATGGTTTAGAATGGGTCTTAGTTTGGAAATGAGACTCATTTTCCTTACCAATATCACTTTTCCATCTACATTCCTATTATTCATACAGCTTTTTTAAAAA